ACAAACCAACCTCAAATGGTGCAAGGCCAGTCTGCCCATCTAAATTCAGCACTGAAATTCCCATGATCAACCGGAACACAGGCTCGGCAGTGCAATAAGCAGCCAATAACCCCAACATGTAGTTGTAAACTTTGGACTGCAAACAGAACCTCTGAACTTTGAAATCCTTCTTGATCCGCCATATTCGATAAATGCACAGGCCCAGAACAACCAAATGAGAAATGCAGACAACTAAAGAATCAACCGTGCACGGCGTGTATGCACCAAAAGCATTCTCCACTGCTCTTGTCCAGACCCCACCGGGCACCGGGCGGCAATACCAATCCAAAAGCTGAAAACCCATCTTTTTGGTCACTTTTTTTTTTTCACAAGAATTATTCACTTTTAAAGCACACAACACAATCCATCACTCTGAGCTCTCTCAGTCCCCACTGAGAACTACTCCTGCATTATATGATAAAACGGAATTTAGCCACAGAAAATCCCAGGAACCAATGAAATCTCTTTAAAGGGTAAAAGAAAACAGTAAAAATTCCAACTTTGCAGATCAATGGCGTACTTTCCTTACTAGCTCATACTATTTTATCCACCAGAATATACAAGGCTTCGAAATAATATGGAAACAAATAAAAACAGTCAAGCATTCTACTTTTAAGCACCACCGTTCTCAATAATCCCAAAAAAAAGTTCAAGCTTTCCATATAACTTCAAACTTTCCAGAACCTCACTCCAGTTACAGAAAGTCAATATCTACTCTGGTAGTGTACATTTTCTCAGAAACCAAACAGAGCACAGACTCAAGCTAGAAAATTGAAATTCTTCAGGAAAAAAATACATTAACGTATAAAAGCTTTTATTACTCCAAAAAAAAAAAAAAAATTAAGCAACACAAAATTCATAATTTCGGATTTCAAATGAGCTAAACACCTCAGAGACTTACCCTGCACTGAAAAACCCAGAAACAAAAACTGAAAGAGCAAAACCGCTGCATATATACGAGCAGTTGACGACCTTCCCCGATCAAAAAAGTGAAATTTTTGGGGAAAATAAAAGAATTTAAAGCTCTTGATTGGATGCCGAGAAAACAGAAGAAGAGAATCCCAATTTTCCTGGAAAAGATTGATTACCATTTTGGTGCGTTTTCTGTGTGTGGAGGTGATGGAATCATTGGAGTGGAGTTGGTGTCGTATCTAATTCCCGCGGAGGAATCGAAAACCGAGAATTTATTCATCTGAAAAGCCAAATTGACAAAAAGACAATAATTATTTGGTTTTTCCTACACTCTGGAAATAATCTGGAAATTTGGGCTTTTGTTCTTCCGTGTATAACAAGCTAGAGGTAGGGAATACAAAGATTGGTGGGGGTGGTCAGTAGGGGTATTATTGTCTTTTTGTTGATAGAAAAGGTAACTTGTAGGGTGCGTTTGTTGCACCGGACTATCTCGGATTGGACTAGCTTTAGGAATTAAGCTGGACTGTCTTCTACTAAACTAAGTTAGACTGACTTAGTGAAGTGTTTGGTGCAGTATTAGATTAAAAAGCAGAATAATTCAAAAAAAAGGGGAAAAAACAACCGGTGATATATAAAAAAAATATCCATGTTATTTGCTTCAACTTCAATTTCAACCAACATCAAAATTTCAACCAAAATTTATCAGTTCCCAAATTCTACCAACTTCAATTTCAACTAAAATTTCCAATTCCCAAATTCTACCAAAATGTCAATCAATTTCAACCAACTTCAATTTCAACTAACCTATAATCAAATTCTAATTTGCATATTATCCAGAGGAAGAATTGGCAAATTAACTCATAATATACCCCAAAAATTCATGTTCTTTATTAAAAACCAAAGATTTACAGCCTCAATTTCTCAAAAGCCACGCATAGGCGATATATTTCCCACGAAGGGTAAGCAAATCAGGCCTCCATCAGAGTCATTAAGGCCTCCATCTGCGAATCAAACCTCCAGCCGTGAGCCTCCATTTTCAATTGCAGATCTCAGTCAACCAAATTCGTTCTTGTTCCTTTCGACCCCACCATCGTCTCCTCCTCCAAACCTCTCTTCTCCAATGACCCACCCCCATCCCCTCCTCAAATCGATGTGAATGGCCATGCCGTCGGCGGTGGAGAGCTTAGACTCAGCCTTGCGCCTATCGTCGTCGTTATCATCTTTTTTGTAGCTCAGACTAAACCCAAAGAAGTGTGGAGCCGAGAATTTGTACATCTCGTCGACGATCGTCGTCGTCGGTGGGGTGGTCCAGTGAGATTGGTCGAGCAAACATGGACAAAGATGCGAGGAGGATGGTTGGACAAGGACGCGATGAGGAAGGGACGAGAACTGTCTTAGCAGTCCCCTGCTGATTGGGGGGTCTCGCTAAGCCCTTTTAATGAAGGACTTAGTTGGAGCGTGTCCGGTCTAATCCTATTAAACCTAATGCTTGTGCAAACCAAACATGAGACTACACTAGCAATTAATCTAGTCTAGTCCAGTCCCCTCTAATCCGGTCAAACAAACACACCCGTAGTGATTTGGGTCAATTATTTTGCTTAATATTAATGGTAGATTATTATTTTGAAATCTTCACCAATAAATTTTAATTTCCTGAGATTTTTGTTATAAATATTAATAAATGCATGACAATTAAAATTTAAATATTCATATTTTTGCAAGTGGTGAAAAAAAATTGGTGGTTTTTTAACTGAATAAAATAATAAAATTGGCAGAAAGTGGGTGGTTTGGCAAGCAATGTAACATCCCACATCGTCCAGGGGAGTAATCATTATATATATATTCTCATTCCTACCTATCACAAGGTTTTTTGGGAGCTCACTGGCTTCGAGTTTTGTAGGAACTCCGAAGTTAAGCGAGAAGGAGGCCAGAGCACTCTCATGATGGGTGACCCACTGGGAAGTTGCTCATGAGTTCCCAAAAACAAAAACCGTAAAGGAATGGTAAGCCCAAAGCGGACAATATCGTGCTATAGTGGTGGAGCGGGCCCGGGATGTGGTGGAACTCGTGCCGGGATATGACAATGGTATCAGAGCCAATCCATGGCCGGAAGTGTGCCGATGAGGACGTCGGGGCCTTAAGGGGGATGGATTGTAACATCCCACATCGCCCAGAGGAGTGGATCCTCTAAACCTTATGTACATGTCCACCTCTTCCTAACATGAGGCATTTTGGGAGCTCACTGGCTTAGGGTTCCGTAGAAACTCTGAAGTTAAGCGAGAAGGAGGCCAGAGCACTCCCATGATAGGTGACTCACTGGGAAGTTGCTCGTGAGTTCCCAAAAACAAAACCGTGAGGGAATGGTAAGCTTAAAGCGGACAATATCGTGCTACGGTGGTGGAACGGACCCGAGATGTGGTGGACCCGAGCCGGGATGTGACAAGCAAGCTACCTTCAGCAAGGGTAAAATCTCTATCAAGACAGGAAAGGTGGGAGTACATTTTTATCCTTCGAATGACTGGCATTATGATTTTTTTTAAAGAAGCTTTAATGAAAATGGCTTGGAATAAGATTATTTTAATAAAAAACCAGCCTAAAATATTATTTAACCAAAAGCTGTTTAAATTTAAGCATAACGACAAAGATCATAAAATTATACACGAGATGGATTACAAAGCCCAACACACTCAAATATAACTTTCCATAACTACCCCTAACGAGAAGAGAGGAAGAATACAAGTTTTTGTCTTCATTTCGACCCCACGTGGTCTCACTCTTTCAAATTTAATGTTTTAGTAATTTGCTTTCCAATGTAATTTGGACAGCTAGCATCCCAACATGTTTAAGAAATGGTGTAGGGCCCCACCTCCCTCCTTTTAGGCGTCACGGCCAAATGCTCCCTCCCTTATTTATTTATTTTTTTTAAATTGTTGTTCAAATGCTTTTTTTTTGTCACGTTCAAATATATATTTTTTGTCATGTTTTACATTTTTATTTTATTTTAAATTTATAATAAATTCATATGATTTCTGAAAAATATTTTGTAAAGTATTACATAGTTGTAATTATTTAAACTTTCATCTCATTATATAAAAACTCACCAAAGCACCAAAGATAGGTAATAAGTTTACTTTACATCTGCCTAGTCCTCCTAAACCCCATTCCGCCACCTGACTAGCACCTAATATCTTTTATAACCATGAGAAAGTGTGTTTTCTTCAATTTCATAAATAATGTATAATTTTGCAATAGTTCCAGCAATAGTGTGCGTTATTTTTGGTTCAAAAGCATAATTAGTATGAGTTATTTTGTTTTAATTCCATAAATGATGTTTATTTTGTTACCTTTCATAAATAGTGTGAGTTATTTTCGATCAATTTCAGAAATAGTGTGGGTTATTATGTTGTAGTTCTAGAAATAGTATGCGTATTTTGGCTCACTTTCCAAAAATAATGTGGTTATTATGTTGTAGTTTCAGAAATAGTGTGGGTTCATATGCTTTAGTTCCAGGGAAAGTGTGGGTTTTTATTATGTAGTTTCATAAATAATATAGGTTAGTTTGGTTCACTTTCAGAAATAGTGTAGATGATTATACTGTAGTTTCAGAATAATGTGGATTATTATGTTGTTCCAGAAATAATGTATATTATTTTGGTTCACTTTCAGAAATAGTGTGGGTTATTACATTGTAGTTCTAGAAATAATGTGAGTTATTATGGTTCACTTTCATAAGTAGTAGGTTATTTTGTTGTAGTTCAAAAAATAGTGTTTCACTTTAGAAATAGTGTGGATTATGTGGGTTATTTTGTTGTAGTTCAAGAAATAGTGGCTCACTTTAGAAATAGTGTGGGTTATTTTGAGAAAGCCGATTGTGAGGAACAACAGTTAAATTGCCAATGCATTGTTAAACAAGGAAACAAACACTTACATTATTCAATGCAGAATGGCCAATGGATGAGTTTTTCAATTTACAACCTGTAAAATTCACTTGCCTCTAACACGCATGAGTCCAAGTTATTGTTCTCTTGTAAGTTGTTCCTAGCAAAAAATTGATCAAATATCATTATTCATGTAATGCACTAATTTCAGGTTTGTTTAAGAACCAGCAAATAAGGCAAAGGTTGACCCTCGTTTTCAAGGTTATAGCATCAACTCATTTGTAGTCTTGACATTTGAGAATACAAATACTTTGGGTCACCACTGCCTGTCTACTACAAGCAAACACTTCAATGTATAAATGGTTGTTCAGTTACGCGAACAAGCAAGCGATGTGTAACAAAAATTTGACCGAGTAAGCTCGAAATCATCCTATCGTATTAGATCAACTTATAAGAATGCCAAATACTGCATCTCACATAGCAAGAGGAAAGCAGGCGAGCCCAAAGCCATATCTACAAGAAATCTTCAATGTTCAAGCATATTCCTGTATTCCCCTCGCGAAAACGCAAGAGCCCATCAACCATAACATGTCGACTTTAGGTTCTGCTAGCAATGCTCGACGGCCTTCTTGTTATAATGCAAGAAGATATGCATCTTCCACTTTCACCTATGAAAAGTGAGGAAAATTTCATACACATAACAATCATTAACTATTGAGGAGAAACTTATATGAACTAGAATCAAGCACGCGAAAAAACTTGTGAGTCCTCGGGAATTCCTATAGGCAAACTTCTTACATGAGTTTGTTGACCCGTTTCAAGTTGTTCTTCTAAGATTTATCCTACAGTTTAGAGCATTCATCAGTTTGACTGTACACAAAACCCAACCGGACAAACTATGCAGATTTCATGAAACAACAGACTACAAAAATATCACAATAGAAATTTGCAAAAAAAAATATCCAAGTAACCATTCTAAACTACAACTCCGCCTGTTTAATTTTATCTTACATTGCCGGTCCCAAGCCCGGATAAAGGAGGAGGGGGAGGGCGTCAGGTAGTCGACATCTGGCACTCCTAGGTTACGTCGAATCCTTATGAAAATGAATCCAGAACAAATTCACGTTAAAGTTAGAGTGTCACCCGTAAGTGACGTGTTGTGTGGCCCGAGCACAGTGATAAGTGAGCAATGGTCTCTGTAAGGACATGACACAGAACCAAACGCAATGACGTTCTAGGATTCATATAGCCGACCCCACTTAGTGGGAAAAGACTTTGTTTTTGTTGTTGTAACCATTCTAAACTACCATCACTGCATCACTTTATAAAAACTTACACAAGTATGCTAGTGAATGTTGTGAACTGAAGAGCATTTAGGAAAGAATGTGAATTTTATAGGTAGAGTACATGAATACATCAACTCTCATCGATTGGAAATCCATTTCAAACCCATATAGGTAGAGTACATGTTTACATCATGCTGCAATATTTGGTCAATCGGAATTTGGAAATCCATTTCAAACCCATAGAGAAATTAGTCACAGTAGTCCTCAATAAATCACAGATCAAATGAACAATCACAAACAGAAGACCAAAACAATCACGAACAGAAGACCAAATCCTAATTCTGCAATTCCACCAAACATCGAAAACCTAATATACACAATTTTATACACATCAAACCCTAAAATAGAAGACCAAATGCTAATTCCTAAATTCCACAAAACACTAAAACCCTAAACACAAATTAAACATCAAAGAAATTAGAGAATCCACAATTTAATACCTGCTTATACGTCCGTCGTCTCGATGATGAACTCGGTGAAGAAGATGTTCGTAAGCTTGGAGCCATAGTCGTTGCGTCCACCGGTGGTCTTCTTCACCATATCATAGTAATTGCTACTAGTCAAAAGATGTCCGAAGTTCTTCTCCGGGATGTAGACCTTCTCCTCTTGGTGAATCGCAACAAGAACTCCAACGACGTTGTTGTAGATGCTGATGCAGTTCTGCTCGACGTCAATGGATGGAGACAATGAGGAGATGAGTGAGAGTAGTACCTGATGATGATTGAGAGCAGGTGAGACGACGAAAGTGGTGATGGTTAGGGCGACGGGCATGGAAAAAGAGGATTCAGACGCAATTCTTCTTCCTTTCCCTTCGCTTCCCTTTCTCTCAGATTCAGACGAAAATGAGTGGCACGGGCTCAAATGAAACAACAAGACAAGAAAGATTGGAAGATAGAATTAAGGTCAGTGGAGCCAAGCTTTTCGTCGGTCGGGGTCGGGGCGGGTCTGAGGTAGCAGACTGAGTATTGCAAAGATCGTTGTCGTTGTGTCATGGAGAGAAAGGGAGACTGAGTATTGCAAAGAGATCCGAAAGAGATATTAGGCAGACAAGAGACTTGCCGTTAGGGGCAAAATCGAAAATTAATTGTTTGGGTCATCTTTATTGGACTGGTTTAGTGTTGGGTTTTATCCTAAAATTCAAAGTTTTCAAATCTTTTTTTAGTTTTTTTTTTTTAATGATTCTCTAAATTTTAATTATTGAAAAGATAATAAAAATAAATGCAGAAAAGTCAACAATATTCTATAAGAGTAAAACGTCTTGTAACTTATAAGGGAAGCAGCACACAATCCCTACCAATAATAATTTAATAATATTAGAAAATGGCATCTCATTAATTGACAGTGTAGAGAAAATGACAGATTATTCTGTAATTTAAAATTTAGGCCTAATCAGATAAATGGTCCCCGTGGTGATAAGGTATTCGGATGATAGCCCCTGTGGTAAAAAAATTTGGATTTAAACCCTTGTGGTCTAAGTCTGTTAGGATTTATGCCCTTCTGTTAAATAATGCTGACGTGGCTGCCACGTGGCTGCCAAATGTCTGCCACGTGGCAATAATAATAATTTTTAATTTTTTTTAAAACTTGAATTTTTACAAAAAAAAAAAAAAAAAAAAAAAAAAACCCCAGAAACTCCCCCCGCCCTCTGCCCTTCCCCCCCCCCCGCCGCGCGACCCTCCTCCCTCTCCTTCTTCCTTCTTCTTCTTCTTCCCGCCGGTCTCCCCGCGCGACTCCTCCCTCTCCCTTTTCCTTCTTCTTCTTCTTCTTCTTCTTCTTCTTCTTCTTCTTCTTCTTCTTCTTCTTCTTCTTCTTCTTCTTCTTCTTCTTCTTCTTCTTTTTCTTCTTCCCGCCGGAGACCAGCTCCCCCCTCGCCGGAGCCACATCAGCATTATTTAACAGAAGGGCATAAATCCTAACAGACTTATACCACAGGGGTTTAAATCCTAACAGACTTAGACCACATGGGTTATCATCCGAATACCTTATGACCACGGGGACTATTTATCCAATTAGGCCTAAAATTTATGTAAAGAAAATCATTTTAGAAAAAGGAAAACTAATAAAAAAGGTTTGAAAACTTTGAGTTTTAATGATAAGGACAAAATAAAGGGTAAAGTGAATAGTACAAAGATTGACTTTTTAGTGTAAAAATGTGGTTTTTCGTTAAAGTGAACAGTACCGGGTGCTTTTCGTTAAAGTTCCCTTTAGAAAATGACATCTCATGCATGCGTCAAATATTACATGTGTTTAAACTCTTTTATTTATTTATTATTGTTAGAAGAAGAGTGATATTTCATTTACTAATAAAAGGGCCACAAATATATATTATAAAGAATTTGACCCCTAAAAGGATATTTACAAACTAGATTTAAAAATATATCAATAAAGTATCACTAATTGCACGATCAACAAATGTCAAACAATTTTGAAAGGCTCTCTAAGTTTCTCGCGAACCCTAGGAGAGCGATCAGAGACTATAGGAAACCTAGGATTTCATGCTTTATCTGGCTGCTGATCACAGTTAGGCAGTGATAGGAGGACTGTGACTGAGGATTGAGATGTTTGTTAAGTCGAACCTTAGGAGAGCAACGACGAACTATTGGAAAGCTAGGGTTTCGTAATATTTTCGGCTACTGTTCACAGTGTAGCAGCGTGGGGAGGCGTGGGTCTGACGCTCGCGATTCTTGCTTGCTACATGATGTAGGGAAGTATTGTACAGTTCTCTAATCGGTGCTTCCAAGTGTGTGCTCGAAATTGGGACTGGGTGGTGCAAGGATTGATGTTAATGGAGGACATGATGGCCAATTTTGTAGCAAGGTTTGCTATAACAGAGGAAGAGAATGAGGTCGTTGTGGTGGATAGGAGGGAGGCTTCAGCTTTGAAGTCATCCTGAGTGTTCTTAATGGGAATGGTCATCTCTGATAAACCAATGAACAAAGAAGGTTTCAAAAGACAGATGAGAAACTTATGGCGCCCAAAAGCGAATGTGGTGGTGACTGATTTAGCAGACAATCGGTTTGCCTTTGGGTTTAATTCCATGCAGGAGCGTACTACAATATTACGAGGAGGACCATGGTTATATAACAAGCAGTATTTGTCGGTTCTTGGAGAGGCGGACAATTTGGCGTATCCTGCTACGATCCCACTATTTTTCCAAGAATTCTGGGTTCAATTCAAGGGTTTACCCTTTGCTATATGACGCGTCTAATAGGAAAGTTCTTAGGAAACTTGTTGGGGGAATATGTGTTTACGGATCAAAGTAGAAAGGAGGAGCAGTTTGGCCGCATCTTGCGTGTTAGGGTGCGAATAGATGTGCGGAAACCTTTTCGATGATATGTGACCGTACAACTGGAAGGCACGTTGTTAAATATTGATGATCGGTACGAGAAATTACCGTTAACATGCTTGATATGCGGTATGATGGATCATGTTGAAGATCAGTATGAGCGTTTTAATGGTACACATGTGGATGATAGGACAAAACCGTATGGTAGGTGGTTCCAAAATGAAGTGCTGGAGAAGAATTATATACAACCTGTAGGAAAAGGGTTTGGGCTTGATCCTGAAGGAGGCTGGGTGATGTCTGTACTGCCTACAGAAGACTTGGATGGCCTTATGGATGATGAGACAGATGAAGTGTTGGCACGGGGGGAGATGGGTCAAATTGGAACTTTGCTACCTGATCTGAACGTAACCCATAATGATCATGGTAGTGTGGATGATAGGGCACTATTACCTTATTTGCCGCAGAAAGTTAGGGAGGCCTAAATGAATCTATGGATTGCCAAGCTGATGATATTGGGACAGAAGCATCGAAGCCTTTACTGTTGTTTGAGACTGAGCTCACACCGAGGGTACGTAGGAATTGATATTGCTGCGCCACCTGCCAATGAGGTTTTCTCGGGGAGTTTGGAACTTATGTTGTCGGGAGATGGGTATGGAACGAGGGTGAGTGCAGGTGGCAGCGGTGGTGGAAGGGTTTATTCCCACTCTATGGGATCTGATCCTTTCAACTTGGCACCTTTTATATTTGGGCCAAGGGGTGATCGTCGTTATTTTTCAAGAGGCAATGGGGTTCAAAGGAAAAGATAGGAAACCAAAACGGCAAGTTTATGTCCCACCAGAGCTTGGAAAAAGAGGCTTGCGTGAGAAAGAAATGATGGGAGATTTACCAGGTTTGAAGAGACGTGCTATTTTGATTTCAATTAGTTTTACCAATGAGTTGTATCAGCTGGAATTGCCCAGGGGCTTGGGAACCTCCAGGCAATTCGGGCACCTACGAGACTTGTTATTTATCAAGATCCCATGGTGATTTTTTTTATGCGAAACTACAAGCTCCAAGGAGTATATGAAGACGTTAAAATCACAGTTACTATTTGATGTTATGTTTACAGTTCTAAGTTCAGGAAAGTCAGGAGGTTTATGTGCCATGTGGAAGTCGGAAGCAAATCTTTGATTACGATCTTACTTTTCTAATCACATTGATTTAGAGGTAGGAGGGGTTGGAGATGTGAATCACTGGAGAATTACTTTCTTTTATGGTTATCCGGCTGAGGTGGACAGACACAAATCATGGAGTTTACTTTAGAGGCTGAGGGATAATTCTAGCTTGCCGTGGTGTTGCATGAGGGATTTTAACGAGGTTTTGTGTGTGGAGGAGCATGAAGAGGGTGATATGCTGAGTGAATGCCAAATAGAGGGCTTTCGGAATGCACTTACTAGTTGCCAACTACATGCTTTGGGGTTTGTAAGGAATAAATTCACTTGGGTTACTACGAGGTGTGGCGGCATAAAAGTTCGATTGGATAGAGTGTTAGCAATGCAGAGTTGGGTGGATGTGTTTTCATGTTACAAAGTTACCCATCTAAAGCCCACATCGTCAAATCATATACCGATTATGATGGAGTGTATTCCTAATAAACGAGTCAGTTTTACAAAAACCATTCATTATGAAGACGGATGGGCGGTAAAGGAAGGTTGTGGGGCTGTAGTTAAACATGGATGGGATACGGAGTTCTAGGGCTCACCCATGTTTCGTGTAACGAAAAAAATTAAAGCAACACGGATTCAGTTAACTAACTGGGCAAATGCTACTAAGCGTACTATTCCTGGGGAGATTATAGAAATTGAGGATAAGTCGAACTCTTTATTTGGGCAGCTATTCACTGAGACAATCATCGCCCAATGGCATGAACTATGTACCAGGTTGCATTCCCTTTTAGCACAGGAAGAAGCATTTTGGCCTCAACGGTCAAAAGAAAATTGGTTACAACTAGGTGACCAGAATACTAAGTATTTCCATCAAAAGGCAAATCGCAGAAGAAGGAGAAATGGGTTACATGGGTTATTCGACGAGGCTGGAGTTTGGCATGAAGATAAGAATGACATGGAGAGGGCTATTGTCGAGTACTTTACAAAGTTATATGACTCTTAGGGGGACACATATGCGATGGAAATTTTGAAGGTGGTCAATCCTAAGGTGTCGTCAGAAATGAATTAAGAATTTCTTAGGCCGGTTTCGAACAATGAAATTAAAAAGGCACTTTTCCAAATGCATCCAACTAAGGTTCCAGGACCTGATGGGATGTCACCTGGGTTCTATCAGAAGCATTGGGAGATAGTCAGCCAAGATGTTTGTGATGGGGTAAGGTATCTTTTATCCTTCGGGAATATGCTTCGGAAAATTAATTATACGCATGTTATGTTGATACCAAAGAAAATTGATCCTACTTCAATGACTCAGCTAAGGCCAATTAGTCTTTGTAATGTGATTTACAAGATTTGTTCTAAGGTTCTCATTAATAGATTGAAAATCATATTGCCGGAGGTTGTCTTGTCGTCGCAAAGTGCCTTTATTCCAGGCAGACTAATATCCGATAATTGTTTGGTAGCTTCAGAGATCACTCATTATATGCATAGGAAAAACAATGGGTAGAATGGGGCAATGGCATTGAAATTGGATATCAGCAAAATGTATGATTGTATTGATTGAAGTTTCTTGGAGCAAATTATGCGGAGGCTAGCGTTTGT